CCCTAGTGTGTGTGTGTGTGTGTGTGTGTGTGTGTGTGTGTGTGTGTGTGTGTGTGTGTGTGTGTGTGTGTGTGTGTGTGTGTGTGTACACACATGTACTGTACAGTATATGATTTCTTCTAGATCTGAAGCTTTATGGTGGTTACTTTGTTTTTCCAACTGCATTACAACCCAAGCACTAACAGCAGAGATGAAGATCCAAGGGTGGCAAAGAAGGCTGAGGGATAATAGTGGTGATTGGAACAAGATGGGGAAAAGAAATAAGTTTAAGGTATTGTCTAACAAAGGAGGGGTATATAAAATGCAGGGGTGGTGAAGCAGCAGCACAACAAAACAAAACAGCTGGGTAACAGACTTGATCACTCATTTTCAACAGGAATCTCAACAGAGAAGGCAAAAGTTATTCAACAGAAAATGTATTTTTATTTGCCTGGCAGGTAGAATAAACACATAAGCAGCACAAAAGGCTTCCCAAAACATTAATCAGTACCTTGAAAGCTACAGGAGTCACACAGTACAAGTTAAAAGGAATTCCTTAAATAGCAAACACCATTCAGAAATCAGTTATATTTGAAATGACTTATTTGCTTTATTCTTGTCCATTCTAAATTCTTAGTGCAGATGGTGATCCTTCTGTCAGTTTAACACTGAATCGCTAAAATCCAGCTGCCAACTCATTGTCAACAAAAATTTTATAGCAATGCAGAAAGATTGTAGCAAAACTCTGGAGAAAAATTTAGGAGCTGTGAAGCAAACATCAAAAACAGGATTGTTTGATTATTGGAAGAATTAATGCAATTGAGAGCAGGAAAATGAAGTGCATGATCACTATATGACGACACTTTATCCATCTGTCCAGTTGTAAGATAAAACAAGTATGTAGTGCCTCTTCCTGCCACTATACCCAACCTTGCTTAAACATCTGCTTTCTTGCTTGCACACTAGGAAAAATGATTCCGACCAGAAATTTCTCACTTGTTTGATGAATATTTGCTTCCTCCATGGAAAGAGCTGACATGTACTATCGTAGTAATTTAAAATCTTGTGCTGCTGCATGTATCCTGTCCTTCTACCTAGTGGCTCATTTTTAATCTTTAGTGTTGATGTAGCCTGCATTCCATTATAAATGCAAGTATGATTTTAGCGACATGGAATTTTCCAAATGATTGGTTACATGCCATATTCTGCTGGTATATTCTGTTGGTTGGGACCTCATCTAGTAACTAGGATCCAGAAAATGATCACCCATAAGATATTGACATCTAGCAGGGAATCAGTTCTTGAATCCTGTTGTTTGCTGTCAGATCTTTCGTTGAAAATATTGTGTTAAAAGAAGAAGAGCACAATACAGAAATAAAAATAAGAATATGCCATTATACCGTGATGTTTATCTGGTTTCCAAACATTGTTAGCAGTCTGATCCAGAGTAAATTAGTAGTATTTCAGTCTCACAGAAATTATTGAGTCCTTAGATAGTTATGAACAACTTGTTCCATGGCTTTCAACAGATCTACAGTGTAGCTGTGTATGGATTCATCAGACTTAGGGTATTTTGTAAAATGACACACAGAGAAGAAAACAAATTTCAGCACAATGGAGGGAGATAAATAGGAAAGTGCCATATAAGGGTTTTTTTTTGGGGGGGGGGAACGGGGTTGGCCTCCAACTCCAACACACCTGGACCAATGCCTCTCCCAGAAGCTGCATGGCTGTCTTGGGCCCTGCTCTGCCAGAGTTGTGGCCACACTTCTCTCTGACCTCTTTGGTGCCTGCCAAAGAACTACAACTCCCAAAAACCACAGCAGTAGCTTCCTTTCTTTGTATATTCACAAAAGAAAGCAAGGCCTGAGATAGTTATGCAGTCTTAGAAACAAACCTTGATCCAGGAGGGTGAAATGAAGTTGTATATCTGTGGGATGGAACTCTCCAAATTCTGCCTAGGAAATTCCTGGAGAATTTTGGGAGTTGGAGTCCAATAAAACAAATGGCACATCCCAATGAATAAATGAACGTAACTGTATATTTATGACAGGAATTAGGAGTAAAATATAGAAGCTCAAATGACAAACTATCAACATGCGGAATGTTTAATATGGGTGAATTTTTCTTCTTGAAAAATACCTACCTACCTGAATATGAAAACATGGTACACTGAGAAGTACTCTGTTAGACCTAAATAGGAATCACTATTTATATACGAAACACAAAATGGTAAGGTTGTATACTGACAGGAACTCAACAATTTCAATTCCTAACTTATGCATCATTTGTTTTTTTTCTTGGGAAAAAATAATGCCAGATTACTAAAACAGACATTCACAAACATCTTCTACAACAGTAAAGTGTTTCAAACTTCATGGAAAAGCATGGCTCATGAAGACTCTATGCAAGTCCCATGATAGGTATTATTCACTCAGATCAAACTGTTGAAGGACAACAGTTGGATTCATGTCTAGAAAATCAATGAGAGAATTCTTCTTTCCTCTGAATGAAAGTAGAATCCTGCCATTAGACCATAAGCTAATGGTTTTATCAGAACACCAGAAGGAAGTACCACATATAAGTAGCTTTCAAATTTATCTACAATAAATTAAAAATATTCTGAACAGCACTAATGGAAGATTACTGCTTCACACAGAATTGAAGCTCTGCCAACATTATAATGGAGATGGAGCCTGCATTCATTGCCTAAATACCTTTCTCAGACTCTCCGTGTCTACTCGCATTAAACGTTCAATTCCACAATGCTTATTCACAGAAATAATTTGTTCAGATAGAGACATGCAAATATTTTAGAGACCATCATAGTGTTAATTGCATTAAAATATCTGGATATAACCTACTTAAGGCTGTCTCCAGATCTGAAAAGCAAATGCTTCTCGGTTGCTTTTCCTTGGTTTGGACGGGTAGCAGCAGCACAAGGAGGAGGCAGTAATGGTAGGATTGCTCAGGAGAAAAGTGGGAACTAGGGTGGGCTGCTGTGCCTGTGGCTGATGCCTCAGAACATTGTGTAGCAACAACAGGCCTGTGGAATTGGCAGGCAATATGAAACCTCTGGACTTCTCAGGCCTGCTAGAAACATGTGCACCTAGACTATCTGCAGAGTCAATAAAGCAGTATCTTCTGCTTCTTGCATATTACAGTACAGTCCATCTTAAGGTCCTATTGATTTTTGGGAAATCTTCATATGAAGACCATACTCTTTGAATCTTAATGTGTTGTGGTTGCCCTTAGCTCTGGTCTGATCCTGACACCTGAGTCTACTATCAAGCTGTGGAGCACAAAAGGACTAATTTTTTATATTTCATGCTTTTAATACTTGAAGATATATATAGGCAGGCATCCTTCAGTCTAGAGAGACTATGGTAACATGCTCTGAATCGAGGAGTGTCCTCTCCAGAGCATGAAGCCCGGGTAAAGTAATATGGAGGATAAGCTGTTACCTGAGTAGCAGATCCCCCCTCTCCACATTGCTGAAATGGTCCAATGGAAAGGCAAGAGCCAATATGACTGGTACTTGAAGAATAAAAGCAAAATATGCTACAATTACTTTGGAAAGGGATCACAGTTCTGTGGTGGACAAACTCTGCATGCTAAAGATTGTGAGTTCAGTTGCTGGCATCACTAGTTAGACTGGTGACGGTGTACTCTCTCCCTTTCTCTCTTCACAGAACTAGTAAAATGGAGACAGATTGATTTCCTGTAAAATTTGAGTAGGTGGTAAGTTCACTAGGGGAATCTGCTTCTATATCATTATGTGATGCTTTTCAGAATAAGCAGGCTTTTAACTGACTGAAGGTGAGATGCCCTTCCTGGCTTTTATGCTTTCAACATTCTCTTCAGGCATTCATTGTTGGCAGTTGATTTACAAAGGCATTTTTCCTGTTGAAAGCTCTGCTGTAAGAGAGGAGCACATTCAGAAGCGAGGAAGATCCTCTAATGGAAGGAGGAAAAACTAATTGCACGGACTTGAGAATGGCATTAGGCTAAATGAATCTACAGAAAAGGCAGATAGGGAATAGAATTATAGCAGAGGACTTGGGAACACACACTGATTCTATTAATGAGTGAACACAGAAAAGCTTTCAATGAACAAAAGTTATGAATCTTACGAGATACAAAGAAGTAACAACTCAGAAAAGCTAATGTATAGAATGAAGGGGAAAGGTGCTCTTGATTGTACAGCAATCATTTTTGTGGCAAATTCACAAAACTGAGCAATTCTCCTAAGTAATTTCAAAATTACAAAAAAAAACAAAAAACAAACCAACCCAAAAAACATGCAGCATGTGCAGCTAGCTATTCCAGCCTCATCAATAAACAGCCGAATCTTGTGATCCTCACATGGTCTAATGACAAGCACACTGCCTTCCGTGTCAATGCCTACAGCAGTCATGGGCTGCTGCCCTGTTGCAAGCAAGATTTCTTATATCTAACCCACTGTAATCCCTGAAACAAGCCAAAGTTTCTAACTACAGTGTAGCCTTCCTTTGAAAAGATAGGTATAAAAGGATCTTCTCTTATCCCTGCCAAAGAGAAGTTGAATAGAAACTGAAACAGACTATTATAGTAAGTACTGAAGTACAAGCCATTATTTGTATTGTAACAGAAAGGTAAGATCGGGTTTGTTGTTGTTATTCAGTAAAACAACAATGGCTTTGGTTAAACTACACAGGGGCTAGAGGGAATCTAATTTACTTTCCTCATAGCTCCTATCAGCTGCCTTTTGACCAAACTCCAGGAGGCAGTGGAAGACAGGAGGGCCTG